CACAGTGCCTGTCGGCCGTAAGCGTTACAATATTAATGGATGATTTTAAATGTATGTATATAAATAATATATTTACTGTACTGTATATAAACATTTTTGTTGTTTTTGAAGTTTTAGACAAAACTTTTCTACCCTTTTAATCTCAATGTGAACTTCAACTACAGTAAAGCCTAGAAAATAGTCCATATTACAACATTAAAATCATTTTGTGAGACTTTAATGTAAAAGCAGTAACAGATGTGCAAACAGATGGAATAACTGGAAAGCATGGACTGGGTGATTGTAATGAAAAAGGACAGAACCTCATTGACTTCTGCATCAATAACAACCTTGCAATCACATACACAGTGTTCCGACATCACAGAAGACAAAAATGCACATAGCGATACCCATACAAAAAGATAATAATATCTATTATCTATCAAATAGATTATATCCTCATAAACAACAGATGGAGAACACCCATATCACAATGCCAAACCATTCCCCAAACATATTGTAGAAAGCAATCATCTGTTCCCGACAAAGCAAATGCTGAAGTGGAATTACAAAAGGAAGAACAAAGAAAGAGATATGATGTAAACAACATGGATGAAAAGTATACCATTGATATCATGATCTATTTCTCGACCTTTTTCGAAGTGTTTCAAACACCATACATAAATGAGAAATGTAAAGTAATCCAGGAACTGTCAGACCAGACAATTTCTCTGAAGAAGGGCAAAGCCATGAAGCTGGAAGAGAAACAAAATAGAATAAAGATCTTAGCAACATACATAAATCAAAAATATACTGTACTAGATCAGCAATTACATCATGGGAAACATTGTCAGATTGTCAACTACGAAGTACATGAAATTTTAGACATCAAATGTACTTCATAAAATGATGAAAAAGAAGGGACACATTACTGACAAATAGAAGAGTTACTGCATAGAGCTACTATATGTGCAGATAATACAAAAATGCTATGGTAGAAACAATAGAACTAAGGCAACTAACAGCAGCTATGAAGAAAATAATTTATATCGTATATGGAAAACACAAGAGTAGCTGGATTTGATATACTTAATATGCACAGAAAAGGTGACTGTGACAGATTCACCCCTTAACCAGAGCTGTTCATAGGGTCAGCACTCAGAAAACTCAACTGCAAAAAAGAATTTGACGATTTATTGCATTTATATGCATTTATTGGCACATCTAAATGCTTTCTTTTTAAAAGATGTGTAAGAAATAGCTGTGTAATGTCACTCTACTTATTTCATCTTCTGGAAGAGATGTCAATGAGAATAGCAGTAAATCGTTATGACAAAGCTTTTAAATTAGGTGTTTAATTAAGTGGATAATTATCAATCTACATTGCAGTATTAAACGCAACTTCAGAAAGTGAATTGCAAATAGTAGTGAACAGTTTTAGGAGCAACAAAGAAGAAAATTAAAGGGACCGTACAGATAGAAAATGAGGTACTGAATCAAGTAAATTTCTTTGTATAATTTGTATAATACTCTATCAGGAAGGTGGATGTGAGAAATACATTGATGAGAGACTGCAAGATCAACAGATATATCTTTAACAAGGCAGTGGAAGAGTAGGAGATTAAAAAATGTAACAAAGTTATAGCTTCTTCAAACTCTGCTATGATCCATTGGCACATATTGGATGAAAAGTAAAAATAAATAGCACAATATTAACTCTTTTAGAAGGTGGTACTATAAATATCTGTTATGAATATCCAAGATAGTGTATAAAACCAATCATTCACACTTCATTTGTATCACATACACTCTCCCATTTCACATTTAGAAAGAAAGAAAAAATAACAAGCACTCTGTCACAGATACCAACTTCAAACTATTTGTCAGTATATGGAGAAAAGAACTAGGCTGCTTTGGTCAAGTGACGAGAACAGAAGTAGAAAGAGAAGCTTGATTCAAGGATGTAGGCCAGGATCAAAATCAAGAGGAAGGTAACACACTTGAGAGATGAACTTATATAAACACATTTAGTGATAAATGAATTTGAGAGTGCAGAAAAAAAGAGATGATTAGAAGGACATATTGCTCACCATTAACCCTCTGGAAAATGGATGGCACTAAATGACAATGGCAAATACACAGATTCCAGTACTCCATTACAAAATGAGTAAGTTTGAGTGATAATGGAAACTTTGGCTGTAAGAATATTGGTAGGAAGGGTAAAGTAAGATTTTAAAATAGATCTCTTTTATCAGGAATACAAAATTTCACAGGTATTGACTAAGACTTTTGTTCTACTTTATACTGTGCAGTACCCCATTCCAATAGAATTTATCCCTAAGCATAATAATATTTCCTTCTAAATGTGTATGTAAGTCTTCTGTTAATTATAGAAAGAACTGCTTTGTAATTACAAAACTCATCAGGAGATATGAAATACTTAAAGGGAAATTAAATCTTTATAAGAAAAAAATCCCCTTGATTATCAGACAAGTCTTTCATAGAATCTAGATTTATATTGTGTCATTTTAGGTATTTCTTCAAATAAAGTTTTATTCGATGTGTATGAATTATTGTAATATGCGTTACAAATAATAAAGGCAGTGTTAACAATACTGTTCAACAAAATAATCCCATCTACAACCATTGTTGCAAAATGGTTATTTTAAACCAACTTTATTTTTTTTATTCAAAATGGATATCCCTGATGAATGACTTGACCCATGACAAAAGTATTGATGCAGAATTCCAGAATTGTCCAAACTATATGAGCTTCTTGAAAAAAAAAACTTCTTTACATTTTAACAGAAATAATTGCCTTAATTGCCTTAATAGCCTTAAAAAACTTTTACATCTTTTTAGATATTTTGTTAATGTTTGTTTTCTGTATTTTCTCTAAACGTTTACTAGCACATTTTAAACTTCGCTGCAGAACACAATGTGTGGTGGCAACATGTAAACTAAATCATAAGATTTATTTTAATTAAAATAATTTAGAAAAAATACTCTAATTAAATTTTTCTTTATTAAATACTTGGGTAAAAATTAAAATAACTTCCAGGAATTCTGTTAATTACCAACACCTAATTGGGTTTTTTTGTGAAGGAACAACTGTTTAAAAAATATAGACAGGACCATCTGATTCTTTCTAATTCAGCTCATCTACATGTAATTACGCCCCACACTCTCCCTCGCAAACGCCATTACATTCCCAAACCCACTGTTTCACAATCTCATTCCTAATTGAACCCATCACATTCCCACATGCACCAGATTCCACAAATTCTTACTCCCAGATCATTTATCCAACCAGTATTCCCTTCAGTATTTAAAGTTCCCCCACACACCAACCCATGCTCACTATTGAGAAGCCTCCTGTAGAATTTTCTTGTGTGTGTTTCACAGCCTTTTGACTGACCTCCTGGTACCAAATCTTTGCTCCTGCCTTTTGACTACGCCTTTTGGATTTCCCTGGTTACCGGACTTATTGCATCTCTCGTTGACCAAGCCCCTGGATTACATCTTTGGATTGTCCCTGTGCTACTCCACATTCTGCAGGATTCACAGTTACACATAAGGATACTCCTATTCTACCAATCAGTTTTGTGACAATTACATTGTAATGTAATTCACTACTTATTACTTCCAACAATAGCAGCCAACAGCAATACTAATTCTTGAGGGGAAATACCACCCAAGAATGAAATACATTAGGGAGTGTTAGGCATGAGAAGATTTGGCTTAATCCCTCGGAGATTGCATGAAGAGGCTGGGACCCACATTCAGGGCGAACTTAAACAATTTAGGAATGCAAGAAAAAGAGGTATTTAATTGCTATTTTGGGGAACTACTGTACTGTACATCATATGATTACAAGTTAAGGCAAATACAATGAAAGAGAATGTAGTTAATGATTCACTACCCCTCATTAATTTTTATTGGGATGATACACTGAGTAGGTTGCCTGATGTTCAAGATCAGACAGAAAAAGAGGAAAGGAGAGAAGAAAGTGCTGACCAGGAAGGGTCCATGAGAGAGGCAGGAGAGTATGAAGGAAGAAAAAAGGAAGTTATAAGGTGAAGGGGCCTGTGACGTGGAGACTCTCATTGAGCTAAATTGGAAGCCAAGGGACAGGAAAGAGAGCAGAAATTATAGGACGCCTGCTGATTGAGCTGGTAGGAAGCTGAGCAGATCTGAAAAGGCCAAAGAGATAGTGTCAGAAGAAGCAGCAGGGGCCAAAAGAGTTTGAAATACGGCCAAAAGTACAGACACATGTTAGGTCTGAACTAGATAAGAAGGGCAGACAGAGGAGAGAGCGAAAGTTAGATTTTATTACACAAAGGAATGATCAGTTAGAAGCCCTGAGTGTTAGGGTTTTAGTAAAACCTCGACTAGATCATTGTGAGATGTGAGGATGTTGGGAGCAGTTAGAGGCTAGAGGTGGCCATCAAACCATGTTTGACTCCTGGGAGCAGTGAATAGAAAATGGACTGTAGGATAGGTTATTGCTGATCTGAGGGCAGATTAGGTATGGTATAATCCTGGGGACAGACTCAGAAGAGAGGTAATGATGATAAATCCTCATACTTATATGGTGCTTTTTCTGAACACTCCACTCAAAGCTCTTTACGGGTAAAGGGGACTTCACTCCACCACCAATGTACAGCATCCACCTGGATAATGCGACAGCAGCCATAGTGCATACAGTACATTCACCACACACATCAGCTATTAGTGGGGAGGAAAACAGAGTGACGAAGCTATCATCATAGATGGGGATTATTAGAAGACCATGACTGGTAAAGGCCAATGGGAGGTTTGGCCTTTACACCCCAGGGTAAATTGGGTAACACCCCTTGTTTCTTCAAGAAACACCCTGGGATTTTTAATGACCACAGAGAGTCAAGACCTCGGTTTCATGTCTGGTGGACCAAGGCTTCACCTCACTGCTGGTAAACTTCTTTTATAAATGGATTGGTTTGTTATGTCTATTTTGAAGAGTAAACTTTTTTCACTGTAAGCTGATGGTCAAAGTATTCTGCTTTTTGCTGTCACCACTATATGACCTGTACCAAATTACAAAATACCTAAAAAACATAAGGGCATACATTATAAAAGATTAACAGATGAACAACATGGCACTTGACATTTCATTCTGATATTTCACATTATCAATCAAACTACTCAATTGAGACCAAACTGACAATCATTGGTTACTTACTAATTGTAAAATATTATTTTCATTTTTTAAACCATTTATAACCCTGTCAAAGGGTTATCTGTTAAAGAAGTACTTTAAAGATGAGGCAAACTGAAGAACAGTAAATGTGACATTAATACAAAAAGAAAAAAAAGCTCTAGTATTTTGATATGTAACATTTCAGCATTATAACCGAGAGTAATTAATAAAGGTTCAAATTAATTATTACTAGTTAATGAATGATAAAATAAATCCTATGAAAAGTTTTAGGTGTTGGATTAGTGCAGTACAGCTGAGTTTGTCACAACATACTGTACCTGTACTAGTATGATTGAATGAGGTTTTCCAAAAAATTTGTGTTTTTGAATGCAATTGTAATGATAGATAAAGTGTGTGGATTTTAATAAATATAATTAAATCACAAAGTGCTTTACATGGAGGAGACCCACTGCATCAACCCTAAAGTGCAGCACCCTCACATTCAGCCACTACAGTATGTGCCAGCATCCCCATTAAACAACAGATCAGGAAGAGAACCAAGAAATTGCTACCCCA